CAGGACCTTGTGCTTGCAAGGTAGGCGTGGCGCCACTGAGCTAAATCCCCAGCCCTGTTTTTATTGTATTTTATACTTATTGGTAGCTTAGACAACTTTCTTTGGCACATTCATGGTGTCCTCAGGAGTTTCTTGAGGAGGCCTGCTTCTTCCTTGAGGTGGTTTCAGGAGAATTTCAGCCCTTGACCTAACTTCTAGCCGCTCCATCCTTCTCTCTCACCTTCAGGGAAAGTGGGACCGGGTGGCCTCACAGGGCATCTACAGCTTCTCCTTCAACACCTGCTTTGAGGTCATGTTAGGATCTGGATGCTGGTTGAGTCCATGTGGAGCAGGTGGTACAGGGATGGGGGGACTATAGCTCCATCCAGAGGAATGGAGGGTCATTCAACAGCAGTTTGGGGAAACCCTCTAGGCTTGAGATGGCAGAAACTAAAGCGGGTAGAGTGGGGCTACTCCCTGTCTATCTTGGAGGGAGCTTCCAAATAAAATCTGACTCATTCTTGGTTTAAATCAAAATAAAACATTTTGGTTTTAGGAAGCATTTATACCCTTAGAAATTATAGAAGACCCCAAATATCTTTTATTCACTTATTATTACTTAAAATAATACAAACAGTGAAAAGTTTTAAAATAGCTATTTTTAATTCATCTAAATATTAAATCTTTATGTGTTTGCATAAATAACACAGTTTACTTATTTTTTTGAGACCACATCTCACTACATAGTTCAGGCTAGCCCTGAAGTCACTATGTACCTCAAGCTGGCCTTGAACTCTCAGCAATCCTCCTGCCTCAGCCTCTGGAGTGCTGAGATTACAAGCATATGCCACCACACCTGGCCCAATAACATAGTTTAATAATAAGTAACTATATTATCCAAATAAAAGTTTAGTGAGAGGACATTGTTTTATGTTTCTGCAAATCTTTTTACTGTCTAACTCAATAGAAAATAGCTGGATCCTATCTTTTGAACTCTATAATAGCTTGATTTTACCTGTTGCACTCTGTCTTTTGCAAAAGTGGTGTGTGGTTTTGGTTGGAATATATGAATGAAATGTGGATGGAAGAACTTTAATGCACTTCTCAGATAATTGTGGCTATTTTCTTTAAGGCCCACAAAACCTTGACAAGTGGCAAAGACAGTCACAGTGTTGAATCTGAAATGGTACCAATGACCTTCTTCATAGTGTGTTATATTAAAATGCTGTGATCTGAGTTACACTTGGAAAGAAATCTTTTTCCATTGTTTTGTGCTGTCATGTATTAGTCATTGGGAAACTATTAGTTTACCAAGTCCTGCAGGTCTTACAAATGCTGCCATGTTTCCTTATCCAACATGAAAATCGCATTTGCCAGTATCCTCGCCACAGTCTGACCAGAGACACGCCTGTGAATGGGAAGCTTACCAGCAGCAGATGCGAATTTCCCCAAAGTTCTCACTTTTATTTGAAAGCTTGAGGTTTATCACTGACAACACATTCTGCCAGTTATTTCCCTTGAAGTGGCAGGCTTTGTTCATTTTTTAAAGAAAGTGTCTGCCAACTATCCAAGTCTGAGTAACCATAGTTCATCTGTCAATGGTTCTTCCAAGTAGAAATTATTTTCAGAAAAAAAAGTAGTTAATTCAGCTCAACTCAATCGTGCAAGTGCTTTTCCTCAAGGTGACTATCCACACTCTTGTATGTAGCAGAATTACTTCATGTGTCTGTATTTCTCTTTTTGTCCTACAAAATATTTAAAAGATGTGTACTCAGGGTCTATATTTACTAAAATTGATAATTATCACTGACTCCAAAAGTACAATCTGCAGTGAAATTGACATTTTTTTGTGTATGTGTATGGTAGCAAAGAGTACAGTGACAATCAGAAAAGAATATAATGAGAAATATAATTGGTTCAGCTTCCTTGAGTCATGATTTGGCACCAATCATGTTTTACTCACCAATGTTTTTTTACTATTAACTCAAGTAGTAAGCAGTGAAAAAAAAGGCAAACGATGTCTTAATTTTGTTATGAAAATAACTCCTACCTCACAGATAGTTAAAAACACCTTAGGGTCCCTTGAGGGGTTCCATAGTCATACTTTGAGAACTGCTGCTTTAAGTACCAGATTCTTTCACAGTGAATCAGTGGTCAGGTGGGATATATCACTGGTATCAATTCCAGTGATACATCATTTGACCAATTCCAATATTATCATTGTAAAGAGGAAGAAATGCAGGCACTGTGAGATTTGTTCCAAGTCACCCAGGTAGACTATGGTAGGGCCAGAATTAACTCCGAGATTTCTTCTTGACTCACGCAGAGTGAGTATGTACACCTCTCTCATGTGAATGCCCAAATCTCGTATAAGTATGGATCTGGGTCCTATAGTGTGCCAGGTCCCATGCTAGGAATCGGAGAAGAAAGCAAATGCCATTTTCCTGAGCTTTAGATTTGGTAGCATAAAAACACACAGATGTGTGAATTAGAGGTTATCTGCACAATCAGTACTTAGGTAACACAGGGAGCCTCAGAACTCAGAGGGGGACCATGTGATGTGCATGTGTTGTCCAATGACCAAGTCAGTAATTCTGAACTTGAGTTGTGAAGGAGCTGGATAAGAGGTAGTGAGAATCTACCAGGTGGAAAAGAGCTTGTGCCAGGTTGGGAGGAGAGAAGTGTGAAGATCTGGTGGAATGGAGGTGCAGGGGAGATGGCCAGCGGGTAGTGAGGAGGGCTAGGTCATGGAGGGCTAGAGATGTCCAGCTAAGGATCTGGACTGTCAAAAAAGCATGAGGAGCTGAGGAAAGGCCAGGCAGGAAGGCAGGCTGGTGCTTTCTCTAACTTCTAGATGATCACAACCCTTCAACTCTCTAGGCGCTAGAGTCCTCAAATACATCCGTGTCACATAGCTACAGGCAGGTTTGTTATATGAATTCCTCACTTATAGTAAGGGAGCTCTTAAAGGAATAATTTCTCATCACTTAAATGGATCCTGTTTCCTTGGCCTAAAATTTGTTACAAAGTGCTTTGCATTTTTCCTGTGAGCTTTGTGACTCACTCTGAACTTGGAAGAACCATTACATCATCAATTTAATAAGGTGGAGTAATGTAAGATCTATCATTCTTAATTTGTTCCCTTGCTGGATTGAATCTAGAAAAGCTTTCTAAGCAGTGGCTTCCAAACAGGGGGAAAGTGGTTAAAACCATAGAGTCCCAGACAGGACCTCTGAGAGCTCAGGAATCTCTAGGCCTGCTCTACTCCCCAAATTATTCTGATACTTATGGCCTGGATCTTGTGTCCTACCCAGATAATTTGGGTATCCCTAGTTGGAACTAACTAAAGAGGAGTACATATTTAATGCCTTGCTGATCCAACTAAATATTTATCCCCTAGTCTCTTTCTATTCTTTCTTTTTTGGTACCAGGAATCAAACTCGGGACCTTGTGCTTGCAAAGCAGGTGGTGGAAGCACTGAGCTAAATCCCGGGCCCTATCCCCTGTTCTCTTGCATGTGTGGACCTAAGTACCTATGTGGCTGGCATCTCTCATGCTGTGTGAAATTGTTCTTGCTTTGTAGGAATTGGAAACACTGAATTCTTCATGTCTCACATTTACTGTTTTCTAACTCCCAAAGATTTTAAAATGTTTTCTGATAGTCATTTTTCTCTCCTTCCCTTCTTAGTAGAATCTTTGCTATCTCATTAGAAAATGTCAATTGGTTTGTTTTTTTTTACATAAATTCATGGTGAGCATATTGTTTTACCAAAGCAGTTTGGATGATTATACAAGCATGTGCGTTGATTGTGGGAAATGTTACATGCAAGATCACAAAAATTAGTAAATGAGGCTGGAAATCCCAGTGATCCTAACTTTCTGAACATGTCTGGCATCCCAGTAATGTGCGACACCTATATAAATCCAAATAAATATTCAACACTAAAGTACTACCAGTTCTGTATGCAGGAAAAGAGATTGCCCAGCCTAGATGGGGGTGAATGGGTGGTCTCCTCAGAGAACTGAGGAGAGCTGCAGAGTTTGTTATATTCCCAAGAGTCCCAGAATTTACATCATCCTTTCTGGGGTCTCCACAACAAATTATGACAGTATACCACATTTAAATTGGGGTCTTGCCCGTTATGTCTCCATTTTGCTCCTAGGCACATAAGGAAGGTACATGTTTCAAAATGGTCATAGGCCCCTGAAGAGCAAGTAACCCCAACATGACACAGAGCTTCCCACTTAGAGGAGTAATGGTGGTTTATGCCTGGTCATAAACCACCTAGTCTGTTCTGGGCTCCACATCTGGCTTCTCCTAAGTGCTATATCTGATAATGCTTAGAAACCACTGGACCCAAACTAGAAATCTAACAGGTGGAGGGAAATTCAGAGACCATCTAGCCCAGTAACCCTCAAATGTAGGCGAAAGGACCCTAATCTGTGTGACAGTCCCCCACAAATGTGTGTCAAGCACAGTGCCACTTTCTAGTTTCAAAGATAAAAATAAGTCACAATGCCCACCCTCAAGGAACTTAGTATAGGGAGGGAGACTGATAACATTTTTCTCTTTTCTTTTTGTGATATTGGGGATTGAACCCAATACCTCTGCTCTGAGCCACATCCCCAGCCGTTTTTTGTTTGTTTGTTTGTTTTTTGAGACTGGGTCTCACTAAGTCATTAAGTTGCCCAGGCTAGGCATAAACCTGCAATCCTTCTGCCCCAGCTTCCCAGAGTGCTGGAATTATAGGTGTGAGCCACCGTGCCCAGCTGGGACTGATAATCTTGATACAAGTTGGAGAATACAGAGCCTATTCAGAGTATGCGAGAAGAAAACTCTTGGCTCCACCTGGGGCCCAGGGAAGGCTCCTGGTAGGTATTGAAACCCAAACACTCCAATGTCTCGTGTTCTTTATGAACAGGAGTAGATTGCTTCTACTATATCTTACTGGGTCAGTGGATATATGCTAGGAATAAGTTTTAGTGGCAGGGGATTCATTGCACCTTAATTTATCTTCCAGAGTTTCTGCAGAAGTACAAGATGACTTCATGACCTACACAGTGTATGATGATACTATCACCATGAAGCTCATACAAGAGGCTTCCAAGGTGCTGGGTAAGTATGAAGGGCTTGTTTTGGTTTCCTTAAGGCTGCTGTGACAAAATGCAATTGATTCTCTTTATTCATGGTAGTTATGTTCTATGAAGTGGCTACAAATGCTGTTAGTGAATACTAAATCGTTGCTCTTTAGGAAAATGCAGGGCTAGGCTTCTGAGATTCTCTTACCACATTTTTGTCAACTGGTCAATGCATAATCTTGGTTTATATCTGCTTCCATTTAAAGACATTATATATATATACAATGTCATTATATATATGACATTATACATATATAATGACATTATATATATAATATTTATGTATATATGTGGACTCACTAAGATTGAACTCATAGTCAATAGCACTATTAATCATACCTGAATGAAGCTAATCTAATATATCTATTTTCTCTGTAAGGGACATAATAACTTTCTTGTGCTTAGGGATACTAGACAGCACTTTGATGCTAAAATGGTTTGGGGGGTCATTTTAACCAGTAATATTATCAACAAAAAGTACAAAAAAGTGAAATTATGGTACTAATAGTCTGTAGCAAGATACTTGTTTGAGAACTGAAATAAAAACACAGAATATCGCCTTGTTTGACCTTAGTTTAGAAACATTTACATAGGATAATGTAAATTTTTCACCATATCTATCAATGATCTTGGCAGCTCTATCACTGTTGATGTTAGAACTATTGGTAAATTTCAACAGGCAGAAGATCTTGCAATTATGGAATCCTCAAACAATGAGAATCGACTGTATCACAAACAGAATAGCTCAAAACAATAGAAATGTGTTCTCATAGTTCAGAGTCAAAAATTCAAAACCAAGTTGCTGGCAAGGCTATACTCTTTGAAGGTACTAGGGGAAAATTCTTGCCTATCCCAACATTTGGGGGTCCCCAGGTGACCATGGTCTGTGGCAGCCAACTCCAGTCTGCCTCCGTCTTCAGGTGGTTCCTTCTTGTGTATCTATCTCGGGGTCTAAATTCTCTTCTCACAAGCATACCACTAAACGTATTTAGTTTAGGACCCTCCCCAAATGACCTCTTATTAAGTAATTATATATGCAAAGTCCCGATTTCTTTCTTTCTTTTTCTTTTTTGGTACTGAATTGAACTCGGGTCCTTACGCTCATGCAGCAGGCGGCGAAACCACTGAGCTAAATCCCCGGTCCTCAATTTCTTTTTTTGAGGGAGGGACTCCCTTTGTAGTTCAGGCTGGCCCTGAACTCACTATGTGGCCCAGTCTGGCCTCAAACTCCTAACTCAGGCTCCAATTTCTAAATAAGGTCATATACCCAGGTTCCTGGTGGATGTAAATTGTGGGGGACACTCTTTAACACAGTCCAGGGATCATGCGTGATCCTTTCTATTTGAGTAGCCTTAGATTTCTTGCACATCTAAACTATGAACATCACTTTGAGTTTCATCATCTCCACGACAAATATTATGTTTGGACTTGATGTTGGCTTTGACAGGTATGTTGTGATACCTTTGAAATATTTCACTACCATTAGGTCTGGGTGTCTGGAAGAACAATATCCAGAATTCCCTTATGCCACATTTGTATTAATCTGAAAATGGGCCTAGGGTGCTGGGCAGAATATCGAGGCCCTTCTGCCTCTGCTCTACCATGTTTTGTTTGTCCATCTGCCCGGACATGAAAATGCCATTGTTAGGGTAATAATGGGGACCACATGGTCCTGTGTACAGTGCACTTGTGCTCCCAGGATGATTTCTCCCTGGGGTGTATCAGTAAGGGATTGTTTCTTTTGTCAACCTGCTCACTCTCCAGGCCCTCAGGGGAAAAGGTACAGGACAAAAGAGAATTTTAGCTTTGCCTCTTTCTCCTTTAGTAACCCAAGTTGAGATCACGGTTTCCTCATTGTTCAAGCAAAAATGGTAATATCTACCTTTCAGAGTTGTTTGGAGGACTAAGTGAGCTAATGTATGTGAAAATATCTGATGTAGTATCTGACACATACTGAACTATTGAAAAGCATTTCCTTCTTTCCTTTCCCCTGCCTGTTCCTCATCCACAAATCCTTGTGAGAATGTGAGGTGGCATCTGAGGATTATTATAGGCAGATGCTGCCTCAGCATCCACCTGACACCTGATAGCCCGAGATGTTGGAAGGGTCAGGTTAGGTCCTGCCACTCAGGACCTTCAAGTTGCTTCCTGTGCAGTGTCAGGCAGCAGGGGCTGTGCTTTTGAGTTCATTCTTATAGTGCCTTGTAGAGCCCAGCAAATGAGCTGCCATCCTCAGGAGCAACTTGTGAGGTAGTTACAGGTTACAGCCACCCACAGGAACTGCAGTAACCAGGCTGAAGGTGCTAACACTGAGCCCACAGGGACAGGTGGCTTCTCAAATGCAGTAGTGATGAGTAACGTGCTTGTGTGGGGTGAGGCCTTGAACTTATTTCCCTCTTCTCTGAATTTCAGAGAGATTCTAAAAGATTAGAACAACTTGGATCCCATGTACCTGGAACTGATAGAAGGGAGGGCTTTTCCCTTGATTTTCATATGGCAATTTGACATCTGGGTCTCTTCTCATGTTCATGGTCATCTCCTGGATGCAGAAATCTTCCAAGGAAAGGTCTCTGCCAAGCCAGTAGGGAAAAGTCATTGAGACTTAGGCGGCTGGGTGCATATGACAATCAGAGTCCTCTCCAGAAAAAGGTGATCATCTGCTTTCCCTGCCAACTCTGCACCACCTACTTCTCTGGTCTGTCTTAGAACTACAGAGCCACACACGGATCAGGGGTGCCAATGAGGCCTGGCAGGATGATGATGATGGTGATTGGAGCTAGGAGGAAACTGGCACCAACTAGTCATTAAAATAATTTCCAACCACACATGTGGTGGCCCCTGATCACTTGCTACCTGCACTTCCTGAGAGAACTGGTCAGGAAATACAGCATAGCCGGAGAGGGGAAATTCAGTGCAGGAGTGAAAGGGGTATTTGCTCCTTCAGTTCCCCAAGCTCAGTCTCCAAGAGCAGCACTACTTCTGGGACCCTTCTACTGCTGGCACTTGGCTTCCTTCCATTCCAGTGCTAAGCTCAAGCAGCCTTTCAGCAATCCCAGCTGACATCCAGGGCCCCTAACAAAAATCTTACAGAGAGATGTTAAGAAAACCTGGTCCAGAAACTGCAGAGTATCTGTGGCCTGCATTCCACCCCATTCCTGCCCATCCTGGAAAATTTTGGTGAGGCTGTCACCCAGACCCCTTGGCTCCCCCCACAGCTGACAGTAAGAGAGGCTTATGTGGGGATGGTGGTGTCAGGCTTTCTAAGGTGGTGCCCTCTAGGGCACTGCACTTGCCCTGCTGGGCTGAGAGCTAGGGACCTGGGTTCTGGCCTCCTCTCTGATTCCCTCAGCACCCTTTTGTTCAACAAGTAGCAGCAGCTGCACCTCTCACCTCCTTGTTTGATATACTTGCCAAAGAGAGGTTCTGTCAGTAGTTGGAGAAAGCGTATTGGACTAAATTCTACAGCTGTTCATGGTAAAAGCTATCAGGAGACTAGAAGTAGAACAGAACCTTC